CGGTGGCGTGAGCAAGGTGGAACCAGCGCGCCTGCAGTCAGGGACACCCTCAAGCAACCCCACACGCACACAGACACGAAGAAACCTCCAGTCGCTTTGCCTGGCCACTGCTGGAAGCGGGATCGCACTGACACAATCTGATGCTGGGGAAGAGAGCTCCTCGCCAAGAGCACAGACTCTCAAAATGCTTCGAAAGAGGCAGAGGCAGGAAGTAGACTCCTGCAGACGCTTTGGCAGGAGTCCAGCGACCAGTGTGACGACCTTCTGCCTTTTGCGAAATAGCGACCGAAGGGGAGAAAAGAACTTCGACAAGGAGTACGGCCAATTGCTTTCAAGGCAAAGCTGGCGAGGCGCCCTTCTCGGAAAGCGAGGCCCTTCATGACCTTCCACGCATGGCCACGCGATAACATCAGCGATGAGGGATGGGTCTGCCTCTTCCACCTGCTTGAAGAGCACTGCGATGATGACACAGTCTGCCACATCGACGACCTGCTCGACACCATCTCGTCAGTCGCAGCTGAATCCCACAACGCACCCATCTCTTGGCCTCCTGATTGCTCTTAGCCACGACAACATGGCTCGGGAAGTCTCGCGCAAGCTCTGCCGCCTTGCGGGTATGCGAAGGTGTTTCCTTGCCCGCGCGAGGCCTCGCCGAAAATTGAAACCCCACACCTTTGCAGCACCTCTGGGCGAGAGAACCACCCTGCCGCGGAACTGTGATCTGCCCCGTCCCAAGTCCCAAGACCTCTGCTTCCTTGGCGGTGCCTTGGGGGTGTTGACAAGCTGCCGCCCGGGGCCAAGATGCCACGAATCAAGGAAGAGCCTGCACAGCTCAGGCTCTCGCTTCAGAGATTCTGGGGAGACTGCGAGGCCATGCCAGGCCATGCGATGCCTATAGTACCGACCCCAACGAGGCCGAGAGTAGATGGAAGCCCATCCGGCATTTGACCTGCCCCAAACTCCCTCACAACTCACAGCACAGCCACAGAGCTCCGGTTGCCTCAGCCTCACCGAGTCGGTGACAGGCTCAGTTTGCCGAATCTTGAATCGGCAGCGCAGAGTCGCAGAGGATTCCGATCGATTGCATTCTATCCGCCGATGACCCTGCTCGCTGCTCACGACTGTCCAACCTTTCATGCCTTTTCAAACAGTCAAGTCGAGGAGGGGTCGCAGGCCACCAAGCGGTAGATATACCAAGCCTCCACCGAATCCTTCGCCCAGGGCCGGTCACACCCAAATGGCTTCGCCACTGGGCGGTGAGACGCAGGTGCAGTAGGGCCAGTAGGGCGCTTCTGAAGGTGCCCCAGCCCCCTGCAAGGAATGTTTTCGCCCCATTTCACAACGGCCATCGCAGCACGGTGGGCGAGGATGAGGAGCTCCAAAAGCACCTGGCTGCGCAGAGCTCTCGCCGGAGCGAGCCACACAAGGAGGGTCGCCGCAGCCTTCTGTGCCAAAGCAAGGCGGCGCAGCACGGCTTCTGGAGGTGCCGGGCCCTTCAGCTTCTTTCGATCCCTCCGAAAGCGCCAGCGTGGAAGGCAGTCGGAGGCCGCCCAGCGCGAAGGCGCGACAGAACTCCCTCCTCTTCCCGCTCGTGGCTTCGGTGACGTCATCTGCGTGCTCGGGCCGCTGCTCGGGCCGCTGCGCGGCAGCTGGAGCTTCAGGGCACTCTCGGCCGCCGCGACTGCACGACGGAAGTGGCCCAGGGCGCGGGCTCTCAGTTTCAAGTCAAGATGCAGGGATTTCCCCCTTTCCCGTCTTTGCTGCACGCCCAGAGAGCGGAAGAGGAGGAAGATGCGCGCAAAGCGTGTCGGAACCTCCGGCTCCACGCCTCCTCGACCTCGCCAACCTCGCCAACCTTGCCGGCCCTGCAGCTGTGCTGAGAGGCGCAGCAGTGGCCGCCAGTCAGCGGACCAGAACCACTGCCACTCCAAGAGGAGCTCCGAAGCCTCTAGCCCTGTGCTGTTTGTTTGGCATGCAGAGGCCAGCTTCTTGGCAAACTTGTAGAAGACCATGTTCATGCGGGGGTCTCCTCGCCAAGCCGTCAGCCGGGGTACCAACTGGTCGGCTGACGCATGCATCTGCCAGTCGAGTTCTGCGGGGCTGGATTTCACAGGACCAGGATCCCCTGCCGTCTCTTGAGCATTTTGTCGTCCACGAAGATGCATCTGCACCGTCGCGTTGCCCTTGGCATCTGTGAGCCAAGATGGTATAAGACACTCCTTGTAGCGATGATCGGCATTGATGCACCAGGCACCAGGCAGCTCACGGACATTGTTCGTCCGCCAGACCCGAAAGAGGCCACCACAGCCACCATTCACCCATAGCAAGCCAGGTCTGACGAGTCCGTAGGTCTCGTGCACGGCACAATGAACAGCATGCTTTCCCCGATACTGGACGAGGTACGCATGATGTCCAACGAGCACTGCAGGCTCTCCACTGCCCTCGGCGTTGTATACGTCCTCGCGCTGCCAGGGATCCAATGCTGACCAGGTACCAGCGAGGCGCCGTAGAACAAGGAGCTCAGCTTTGGGGCCACCATAGGCCAGGCCAGCAAACAGACGAAGCTCCCTGGCAGCTCCCTCATCGGGAAAGAAGCCCAAAGGTGAGAAAAGCCGCTGCACTTCCTCGGCAGAACGAGGATTTGGCCCAGCCTTGCCCCAGAGCATCACGATGCCAAACTCAGCATGCCGCACCAAGTTCATCAGAAACGTCAGCTCCTTTGAACGCGGAATGAACTGGCCGACCCCAAGGCTCAGCACCCAGTCTGCTGAGCCGAAGGACACTGTGAGTACCCCAAGCTTCTGCAGGAGCGAATCAGGCAGTGGTATTCGGACCTGCCTGGCTGCCACGCCAGGAGCTCGTGCAGTGGGCCAGGTCTTGCGTCGGAGATAGCGGAGCCCGTAGAAGAAAGAAGGGCGCGTCCCGTTATACGGATCCTCACCCTCGCTGGATGCCTTCCGCCACACTGTGCCGATAGGAGGGTAGCTCACCCCCATGCCATAGCCCACGCAGCGCACGTCACTGCAACATATGTGCCGTAGAAGTGCCACAGAGTGGCCCTCGCCGGTTCCCTGCATCTTCAAGCCTATGCTGAGTATGAGACTGGCATCTTCCTCCTCGGTGGGCTCATCAGGCGCCTCAAAGCTGCAGGTGCTCGTTTGATCATCTGCAGCGGCCTCGATTTGGGAGAGAAACATTTCCATCATCCCTTCTTCGGTCGCTTCGGTTTCCTTTTCCTCAGCCTCGGCACTTCGCCATTCCTGAATTTGAGACCGGAACCCCTCGGCCTCGCTCGCACGGATGCCCGGCAGGTCAAGAGGCTCTGTGAGGTCCCAGACGAGGCTGTTCTTGGGCAGCGTGCGGCGCACGATCGGGTCCCCATCGATGCCGATGGCCACCAGACCGAAGTGTTCGAAGAGCTCCACGAAGCTGCCCCGACCGCAGCCCATGTCCAGGACTCTACCAGGGCGAGCAGGCTGGCCCTCAAGTCGGAAGATCTTTTGTCCGGCCCGCCGCGCGTTTCGGTCGACGTCGTCACGGAAGAACCGGGCCAGGCGTACCGCGAACTGCCCATCGAAGTCCGCATTCGTCGCCGAGGCGGTCAGGAAGTAGTCCATGTTGAACTGCTCAAAGAAAGCCGGATCGCTCTCGACGTAGCCATGAACGTGCCGCGGTGGGGTCATGTCGCAATAGTTGGTCCGGGGCCGGCGACATGGAGCTATCTTGTCGAAACAGATGCCTTGCATTTTCCGGAGCTGCATGGCTTCGGGTCGCGATCTTAAGAATGACTCCAAAAGGTTCTCAGTGTAGAGATTCTCGCATGTCTCGCGCGATCCTCAGCTGGAGGCAAGCTTTTCTGCTGCAGTTCCGCTTAGCGTGATACGGTGTACCTGCATGATGCTGCCCGTGCATATGGATACATGAATGCACGGCTGGACAGATGCATGTACGGACCGGACCTGGGTTGCAAAGATATATAGTTATACAGGTTAATAGGTAGAGACGGGCAGGCAGGCAGGCAGGCAGGCAGGCCCTGTTCCCCAGTCCGGCCACAATACGCAATCCAACAAGCTGCCGACTGGCTGTTGCTCTGTTCGAATACTGTCGATTGATTCGTTCCACTCTTCTGCCAGTGTCCTGTTCTCGCGATGAATTTCTGATGAATTTGGAGATTCTTGACAGCAAATCGCAACTCTTGAAGATGTGGCTTCCGGGTTTTGATTGCACCTGCAATTTCGGACGGCAGGAAAGCACACTTGGTCCAGCACTCGAATGCGGAAGCTTGACATCCCTTCATTGTCATAACTCGGCCCAACCATAACTTGATGGATACAAACTCCATTTCACACACTGTCAGTCCTGCAATTTACTACTCATTCAACTGATGTCGGACTTGGCGCGTCCGAGTCACGGAGGGTGGCATGCTCGACGCACCAGGGAGGTGCGGCTCTGTGGCTCCAACTTTCGCGGGGACTGAGCAAGAAGCGGAAGAAGTTTCGGAAGATTTCGCGCATCGACGACCAGGAGCCCAGAAGGAACTGATCCTCCACAACGCCCTGTCATGGCAACTCAGCTTGCTTCCTTGCTACATCGGGGCGAAAGCTTCACGGGCCTGGATTGGCATGGGCACCCAGTTCGCCAGCACGAAGGGTGGAGCCAGGCTTTCAAGGTCTTCGCGGGAGATCATCGAGTGCCACTGGACATCTGGTCTGCTCCGAGCAATCCAGCGATAGCCCATCGAGCCGTCCTGGGGTTCGGACGATGATCTGATATCGACACGCAGCATGTTCAGAGAGGTCCTGCCCATCAGCCTCAAGGGCTTTCTCCTCCAAGTGATGGGCACATTGGGCCAACTGCCTTCGAAGGAAGCTTCGGCCCCGTTACATCTCTTTTTGCGCCCTAAACCCCTACTGGCCCCTACTGGGCCTGGCGGGGAGAAGGGTGTTCCTCAAGCGCTCGTAGTCGAAGTACCGGTGGCCTGCCTCACTGAAGATGAAGTTCTCCATCCAAAGCCGTTCTTCTGGCGCCTGGCGCCAGGGTCTTCGGGGGCCCAAAGGCGCCCTGGCTCTTCACTGAAAGGAGCTGGGCGCTGCAGGCCTCCATCTCTTCAGGCAGGCAGAGAGCCTCCATGCGAGCAGCCGGCAGGTGTCAGCCGAAATCTTAAAGTCTCTGCCTGCATGTAGACATCTGCTCCACCAAAAAAAGCAAACTGAGAGGCCACGTGGATGAGCTCCTGGGCCTTCGGGCACTCCTGCAAAAGCACGACAGAGAGATTCAAGTCTTTGACCAGATGCTACCACACCTCTTCTGGAACCGCCAGGATGACATCAGCCGTCTTGAAAGGCTTCAGGAAGACCTCTCAGAAAGAAAGTCGCCCAACCGCCGCAGAAGTGCCGCTCCTTTTAGGCCTGGAAGAAGCTCAGCAAGTCGCTGGCATCGCAGATGCCTCCAAAAAGTGCAGAGCCGCTCATCCATGCTGTCCATGCTGCTCACGGCACGTGCTCCTGGCCAAGCGGGGGCCCGCCTCTGAGCTGGCCCACCATGCAAACGCCAATGTCGCGAGCATATCCTCTGTCGCCGAGTGCAAGGGCCGGGAGCGCCAGCGCTGCGATTCGCAGCAATCTCAACATGTCTCGCAGCCATGCCTGTGAGGAAGACAGAGGATCCAAGACTCTGCCGCAGCGGCCCCCGTCCCCGTCCGGCCTGTCAAAGGCCTCCCTTGCATCTCTCAAGGTCGAGAGTCTCGACGTTCTCCCGCCGGATTCGTCAGACTCGGGCTTTCGGCACGGTGGGCTAGAGGCTTGGGCAAGACACGCAGACATACTCTCATCCTTCAGTCGCTGGGTGTCTACTGTAGCGACATCCATGGCTGAGCAGGCAAAGCATGGAAGAGCTACCTGTTGCAACCGCGAAGCTTTTTGTTCCCGTTGCGTCCTAGCTGCGCCGTCCTACGATAAACAGGCCACACGCGAGGCTCTGTGGCTTAAACAGCGTGAAGCGTGACAGTGCCAGAGTTTCACCTGAATAACTCATATGCTTGGGTGAAACTCGTGCAGGTTAGCTTCAGCTTCATTTTCTAAGCTGATGAGACAAGCTCACGGCTCGTCGATATCAGGGGAGGTGCGAACAGGCAGCGCTAAGGACAAGCGCAAGGTGGGCGTTTCTGTCGCTTGGTCTGATGCTGTTCTAGCAGTTTCTGGCGTCTAGTGGCTGCTTCCTTTCATTCTGTCACCCTGCTGCGGCTTGCAACAAGACGCGTTCACTCATTGCTACTGTCGCCTGGCATGAAAGCTGACGAAGCACTGAATCTGGCGGCGCTAGCGCGAACTTGCTGGGGCGAGCACTTAGGCGGATCTTCAGACCTCTATACATCATGCATTGCTGGGTCATGCAGCCTGTAGTCTCTCAAAGCCAGCTTCAGGCTGCGACTGCACCAGGAAAACAGTTCCCTGATTGCCTTTCATCGTTATCCATCCTGCCGAGTCGAGATCATGTTGAGGCGCGCCCCTGCCTCTCCCCCTTCCACGTTCCCTGCGGCCTACTGCTTGGTCTTTCCGAGCTCTTGCTCTAATTCTAAGAAGACCAGCTTCTGAGTCCTGGCCCGCTCAGGACAACGACTGCACGGGGCTCGGGGTGGCGGCTGCGGGCGGGTCTGCGGTGCCTCCTGGGGCCCATCCACGACTTCCAAGATCTCACCTTCGTCCACTCGACGGATCGACGCGGCGCTCTTCGTGGCCAACGTGGACTGCAGCACCTGTGAATCCATTCAGCTCACTTGCAGGCAAGAGCCAAGGACAGAGCTGCTTGGCGGACCGTGCTCTGTTTACACCGGTAAAGTGGGCTCCAGCTTTTCAGCCTGAGACGAGCGAGACTGATCGCAGCTTGTGCTCAGCGTGGACTTGAAATCGAGTGCCGTGCTTTTTGCTGCTCATGCTGACCCAGCCGACCGCGCTGTCGGCTAAGGCTCGGCCCTGCTTGCAGATGCTCTCAACCTCTCAACTCTCTCACAGACGCTTACAGTAGATCATCTTGGATCCCTCTGAGACCTTGAAGCGCAAGACCGGCTCCAGGACCTCCTCCTTGGGGCCCTCCAGGACCTGAACGGCACTGAGTCTTGTTTTGGAAGGTGTGGCGCGGCGGCCCGCGCCTCGATGGCCTCGTCTTTTGCAAGGGCTCGGATCTGCTCGGCGCCTCATCGCTCCATATCCGCCGGGACTTTAGGGACGGAGGGCCCGGCTTCTGAGCCGCGCGCCCTCGGTGCTAAAGGAGCGCTGCAGCGGCACCTTCGGACAGCGGTCAAGAACTCTGAAGTCGAAGCGTCGAAGCGTGCACTGTGACTCCTGGGGCCACTGTGCCTCTTGCAGGACCGTGTACAAGGAAGGAGCTTCCTTCCGTTTCGCAGTCTCGAAGCTTGACAGCTACACGCTGAAAGCACGCCTCCGCGTAGACTGTCCCGGCATTTCCCTTCACGGTCACCCAGCCCTCCAGGGAATCCTCAACTTCCAGAGATCGGTTTGAATGGCTTGCGGCTCCCGGCTGCCGAACTTGCCTTGGTGGCGACAGCCTTGATCCGTGAAACGCTAGAGTCCTGCTGGAGGCCACCCGCACACTGGCCAAGCGTGAGCCGTGCTTTGAGATAAATCTGTGTGGCTAGCTCTTTCTGCCAAGGCGACTGGGCATGCTCTGAACATTCATTGGTGCGGTCCTTGTCCACTTCTGGGCCTTCCAGGACTCGGACGATTTCACCGACCTCGAGCTTCCTCAAGACCTTCCCCCGTCAGGTGCCGAAGGACAGAACTCCGCGCACAAGATCTCACCCTTGCCAGCCTTGCAGGTCTTGATGTTCTGGTTGTCGGTCATCGCGATGGCAGTCTTGCAGACGTAATGCCTCAGAGATGGGCTTACAAGTATAGAGGCCAAGATAGGTTTTTGTCTTGGGGCGCGCGCTGGTGCCGGCCTTGCTCGGCCAGGAACCCGGCGGGACCCTTTAGGGTGAGCCAGCCCTCGGCCTGGTCCTGGAAGCGGAGGTTTTTTCGAGGAAGCGGAAGAAACGCTGTGAATGTCTTGGCTGCTGTGGCCCGGGCTGAACATGCCTTGCAACGAGCCCGAAGTAGCGGCTCGTTGCTGTCCTTGCACACCCAGAACAGATGCCGGAACCGCTTGCTGTGTAGCAGCGACGGAAACGTGCAAGGCACAAAGACCGGAAACTCAAAAGCTGTAAACGCCGTAAGCTTCACTGTAAGACCCACCAAACACCCCTCCAAGCCCGGTCCTTGCGAGGCCCCTCGATCACCTCCAGGACCTCCTCGGCCTGCCATGATCCAAGGAGTCGCTAAAAGTGACGAAGTGACTAGGTACCTAAGTGTAAGCGCGTCTGAATCCAGGTGTACATGGGTGTATGTATGTACGCGACGCGCTGGAAGTTACTCAGGCAACGCCTACGGGGAACATACGTGGGCCAACGTGGGCTATCTACTCTGGTCTTCTGTGGCCGGCTCTGGCCTTTCTCTGCAGCCTGTTGCTCGTTCCAGCATGGGATGCGGCACAACAACGTCTACAATACTCACAACAAAAACGCTCAACAGGTATGCAATTTTGGCTACGACACACGCTCTATACTCACATATTTCTTGAGATTTGATGTGTTCACACGCCCTTCTGTACCTTGCATATCTCTGCAAGCAGCAGCGGTGTGGCCTTCAGCAACCGAATGGGAGCTTCACTTGTCCTTGGAATCGGTCCAGAACAGTCGGAAAGCCTCCCTTGCTCTGCTTTTGGGAAGCCCACAAGAAGTCGGGCTCAAGAGGCAGCTCTAGGAGGCACTGCATGTAGGGTTTTGCCTTCTCCTGCCATGCAGAGCTCACAGCGATGCCTTGTCCACGGCTACTCTGCTCTTGCCTTTAAGAAGCGGGAGCCCTGATTGCCAGAGACCGTAGCCCTGAGCAAAGGCAACAGGTTAGCCCCGACCAAACAAGAAAATGCCCCAGCTCAGCCCCAGACCAACCGACCACGTTGTGCTCGAGCAGTCGGCCTTTCACCCGGGTGATGCCTGCAAGAGTCATGCTACCGTAACAGGCTTCGAAACATAAGCAGCACTCCTGTTTCACCTCCCACCTAACTTCGGGTCTGTTTGCGGCCCCTCCAGGACTTCCATGACCTGCACGTCGCAAAGCCGCCGTCAGCTTTCGCGACAGAAAGGGGAAAAAACTGCCTCGTCACAGGCCACCATTCGCAGCGGCTTGCGGTTGGAAATGACGAAGTCATACGTCAGCGCAATGGACTTCTGGCACACCTGTGGATGCTGGCTGGAACTCTCAGCCGTCCAAGCATCCATGAGAGACTGCCCTTGCTGAACTCTTTATCTTCATCGTCATCATGCAGTCACCAAGAGTCAGCTGTCAACAGGGGATGCGCTCAGGCTGCCGCGAAAAACTGCTGAAAGCTACGGAGGAAGGACCATCGGGAGGCACCTTCCTGACATAGTGCCAACGCCAAGGGCGCAATGTACAAATGTCCACATCTGCTTTCGCGTTTCATTTGCTGTGTGAGTCCTCGCTTTGTGGAATCCTGTCGTAGACCAGGGAGACCTCGTGAAGGGTACTGCTTTCCCTCTGCTTCAAGCTGAAACACTCCACGAGTCTGAACCCTGCCTGCTCGGCACTGAGCCCGAGGTCAGACATGCTGCCCAAGTACCTGCAACTTGTCCATGTTTCCGGGTTCGCGGGTGGAGCTTCAAAACTGCCTCTCAAATGCTTCTTTGGAGACTGTGCCATCAGGCGCGTCTCCGCGCATCGTGTCGAAGATTGCCTAGAAGCAGCTGGAAACCTTCATGGTCCATTCTGACAGCTCGGCTTTCCCTGAAGCCGCCAAGCTGCATCCAACGTGGTGTCCTTCTTGGCGCACTCACACCTTGCCGGCTGCCCCGTGCAAGCTCTAGGTGATACCTCAACACCCACATTGTCACATGTCCGAGCCTTAGGGAAGCCCGCGCTTCCCGAAGCGCCACGTCCGCCACACGGGAGGCGGTGGCCCGAGCGGCCTCAGGGGTGAGGCCAAAAACAGCTGAGAGGCTGAGAGGCCCTTTCTCTCGTGTCGAGAACAGCTGGCCTCCAGCACTTTGGCAGCTTCCTTCTCCATGTTGTCCACCTCACAAGCTGGGTTTCAGCACACAAACCAAAGGCCCAGCTCCGGAGCCTTCCACTTGGCCGAATTGACCGCCTGGCGGATCTGCCCCGAGCCTTCGCCAAACAGCAAGGCTTGGACACAACCGCCACCGGCCGACATAGCGAGCATGGCGAGCCCCACCTTCGTCCTTGGGGCCTTCGTGCTTCGCAATCGCGGTCCTGACGGAGCACGGCCAAAGGTCCGGCTGCAGAGAGCAACCTCAGTTGGTCCTCACAGCTGCAAGCTTTTCTTTGAGCTGCGCATTCATCTGCTCACCTTCCTTGAGGAGCGAGGTTGGCACCTTCAGGACCTGACAAAGCGTGGCCGGTGAGGCAACACAAATCATGTAGATGAAGATTGACTTCGGCAAGCCATTGGGGAGTTGCAATTCGCACAGGGTTCTGTTTTTGCTGCCCTCAAACGGTGTCTTGGCTTGGCACGGCCTCTACTCATGCTGCAAGTTATTCGATTATGTTATGGCGACCAGTAACCCATGAAGCTGACAGCCAACAAACTGCAAGGCAGAAAACCACAAAACCCACGAAGCCACTACAGGCCACGAAATTTCGCATATCTTCTCTTGCCCCCCGGCAGTTGTCCGTTTGCCTTGTCTTTCGTTACTTCTGACCTTCGCTCCTGCCCATCATCCTTCCTTCCTGTTTGTACTGGCAAGAGAGATTAGAGCCTAGGCGCATTGACAGTTTATGCCTGGCGCTCCTTGCTTCCTTGCTTCGTTTTGTTGGTCCTTCCTTCTGCCGCCCCCCGCTGCAAAGCAGATAAACTTGCGGGCTGCTCTTGACAAGGAGTTTCGTGACGGAGACAGGTCTTGCAGCTGGTGATGATGAAAATTGCAGGCATACAGGGGTGTTGGACTTTCATGTGACTGTACCCCGATCGGCCTCCACCTCCGATTGAATGTTCACCAGCGGAGCCATGGCCTGTCAGGTCCAAAGCTCGCTTCCCGAAACTTCCTACAACCCACGTCTGCCCTGGAGCCTCGGTGATCCGTGTTGCCTCGGACTCCACGGCCTGGACCTGCTCGTCCAGCACCTCACAAGTCCCGGCTGCCCCGCTTTGCGAACGCGAAAGCATTCCTGCGGTCCCTGGCTTGCACTCTGCCTTCGTGACCGCAGCCAAGAGCTTCTGCTCCTGTGCGTCCAAGCGGGCCTTCTTCTCCTGTTCCGCTTTCCTTTGCCCAGGAAGCGATGAAACTCGGATGGCTTGGGCTTGGGACAGCGTCACTTGCCAAAATGCAGACGTCGCGGCTTTTCGTACTCCTTCTTTGCTGCCTCCACTTTCCTTTTGAGGTCACTGAGCCGCCTGTTGAAGGAGATGGCCTTGCAGGAAAAGCTATGGCTGGACGTGCCGGTTTGTCGGCGGCGTAACGTTACTTGTCAGCAGGCACGCACCTTGGCTTTGAGCTGGTCCAGCTCAGTCCTGGCCTCAGGACAGGCTCAGCAATGGAAGCTTTGGTTCCGCTGCAGCACAGCATAGCGGGCCTCAATCAGCGGACCTTGCGCACAGGTCCCCATGGCTTTCCGTTTGTCAGTGATGTGAGATGAGACCTGCGAGTCAGACAAAGTAAAGCGAAGCAGCTGAGATAGCAGGCGCATGTCCGGAAAAGCAAAGTACAACAGCTGGACAGGGGAGGGTGCAACAGCTTCTGCCAGGCCACGACCTCAAGGCCATATTCGTTCTATTTCCACTCATAACCCGTAGCCGATGCTCCATTTTACCACGAGGGCTGCTGACATGGACTTCGCCCAATTCTTCAGTGGCAGGTGTGCCATGAACCCTGTTTTGACCGGCCTTCTCCACTTGCTTTGTTACGGTGTTCCAGTTCCTGCAGAGTGGAAACTGCTACTGCTACTGCTGCTACTGATAATGATCGGATTGCGCTTTGCGAATGACAAAGCAGTCCTGGCAAAGGATTTCAGGGCCGTGTTTTGAGGCGACTGGCGACTGAGGTACACCTTGCCTGTTGCACACAAGGCATTGGCCAGAGCATCAGAGGCCCAGAAACACTGTAGAAAAAGAGTGCAGAGTGCCAGGGCCTTGGTTGCCCCTCATCGTCACCCAACCCTCTTTGGAGGTGTCTTCCACCACCCGGCAGTGTAGTCGTGTGAGCTTCTGGGTCTCGTCGAACTGCGGCCTTGGGATGTGTCTTGGCTTCGTCGAAGGCACTCATGACTCTGCGCATGTTGAGTCTTGAGTCCCTGGCATTCCCAGCGCTTCGACCACCATGCCCACATCAAGCTTCAAGACATTCTTGCCGCTGCTGATGGACATCCCATCTGTCATGGAGATGGGCTGTACCTGAACGAAGCCACATCTGTCGACAGCTACAACACACAAAAGCAACTTCAGTAAAGCACTGGAAAGGCAGGCGGACACAGAGAAAGAACTCCGAGAAGATGTCCTGACACTGGTCTCTATAACAATTACAGGACCTACCTCCACCGAACTGTGATCATTCGGAGGCAGACATGTCTCCTGAAACTCCTGCTCGCTCAAGTCCCCGCTGCTGTCCGCATCGAGCTTCTTGAAGATCGCCTGAGCATCTCAAATCCCAAGAAGATATCCCGGATCCACGTAGCTTGCCAGCTCCCTTCGTCTGGCTTTTGGTTTTTGGGTGGGCTTCCCTCCAAGGGCGGAAGGGTCGATGCCTTGGACTTCGACGTCGCTTCGACAAGAGTATTCAAGACACGCGCATGCTTGGGATTGCAGTACCGTGACAATTGCAAGTTAGGGCTTCGACATGAAGACATGAAGCTCCGCCGGGCTCCGGCCATTCGCAGCGTAATTTATGCTACTCTATAGCCCTTCCTACAGCTTCTTGACTAGTGCAGATCGACTTCACGTAGTCATGTCTACGAAGCAACGCCGCATTTGTGCACTGGGCTGCAAGCCTCCAGCTGGGAGTCCAAGAACCTCTGAAAGCAATCTGGCTCTTCCGAACACAGCTGTGCTTTCGACCTCCCTGAGTTACGGACACGACGTCCTCGGAGGTCTGATTCTCGGCCAGCCAGGCAATGAAGGCCTGAATGCCGAAAGCACGAAGGAGGGAGAGCTTCGGAGTTGCTGCCGGGCCTTGAACTGCTCTGTGCTGACCTTGGTACCACCTTCCCCGCACGCCTGGGAAACAGAGGTTTCACACCAATGCCGCGAGAGAGAGGGGAAGCGAAGGGATTGTGTCTAGCGGCCTTAGCGAAGAGCGCCTCCTTGGTGTGGCCTTTGCTGATCAGTTCCTTCCAAGTCTTTCAGTCTGCTACGGTCTTGAAGCTCTTGGGTCTGATTTCTCAATCAAATCCTCTCCTGGACAGCGGTGGACAGCCGCTGCACGTTCAAGCGCACGAGCAGGCTGGAGCTGTCCAAGAGCGGAGAAGCTGCTGCCTCGGAAGTCGCGCTTGCGGAACTCGTCTGTCTTTTTCAACCCGTATCCGCCCTCCGAACATCGCTGCAGCGACAATAATGGAAACATGGGCCTCTAAACAGCTGCATGTCTGGAACATGCTGCCAAGACACCTCCACTTTCTGGATTTCGGCATCGACCTTCAACAAGATTTTGCGAATAACCACGCGCACACACTTTGCAGATGTGCGGGTCTAGCAGTCTAGCTCCGAACCAGAAGCAGAAGCCGCCCGTCTCCCAGCCCCGGCCTCATCCACCAGACCGGCAGCCTTCAGAAGCTGTGCTGATGATTTCTGACACACGGCTTACAAATCACATCAAAGTAAGGAATTGCCAGGTGCCGTAGCAGTGCAGCATTCCTTGCCTCGGCAAGCAACTTCTTCGAGACGAAGCGCTGCTCCTGGCGGCGAGCATTCAGACTTTGGGTTGCTGAAACCGAGGATCCCGGTATCTCCAACATGTTCCGATCACCGAGACCGAAGCCGCAACAAAAACATCGAGCTTGATTCACTAACATCCCACTCCAGCATGGAGGTGTGCTTCTTGGACTCTGCCAACTTCGCCTTGGTAGGAGTTGCAGGTGAATCCAGACTGAGAGGTGACCATGAGCATCGCACCTTCACTTTGCCAAGCCGCACCTGCGTCTTTTTGCAATCAACCAGATTGAAGGCTGCATGGGGGAGTGACGGGGGGGGGGGGGGGGGGGGGNNGCCTGCATTTGCTCCAGCTCCTCTGGCACGCCACCTCCGGCGTCCCGGTCCTGGCGCATCTACCGAGTCACGCATAAGGACGGCAGAAAGTCAACCCAGCAATCGTCATGTCATTTCTATCCCTTTCATCTTCGTTATCACGATTACTAGGTAGCCCTTTTGTTGCCATTCCTGTACCAGTTCTTTCCTTACATGTAGTCTTCCCTTCGCACCATCATTGCTACGATCCCTCAGACCAAAGCCCCAGCTGTCACGGTTTCAAAGCCCTGCAGCTCAAGGCGATGTTTGCTTTTGAAATCTTATGCCTCTCATTTGACTCTTGGGCTTTGAAGGTTCCGGCATCTGTGGTTCCACTCCTTCCGACGCTCTGCGAGGAAGTTGATGACCTGGTGAACTCGCTGTCCGGCCGCCTGAAGGCACTTGTTTTGGGCGGGGAACAACACTGCGAGGATCTGCAGGGTCGCGCACCTTCTCGAGACCTGCGAGGGTCTTGCAGATCTGCGTCGCCGTGTCGGCAGTCATAGTGCTCAGGTCCTGCAGACAGATGGCAGAAAGCTAAGCCAGAGTTCACCTCAGGGAGTCGTCCTCGGCAGCTAAAGGCGTAGCTGCCTCAAGATTCCATTCGGACACATCCGGACGCAGCACGGTGCGACATGAAAAAAAACGGCTCTGCCGGCCTCCCGTGCTTGGTCCACCTCCTCTTCCGCAGTCTTCAGGATCTCATCGGCCTGTGGCTGTCAAGCGCAGAGGCCTCGTTGGAGAGCCACAGCTCCACAGCTCTTCCACCTCCTGCAGCTTCGAGGTCCGTTTGCGCTTCTCTGTGTCCTTGCCTCAGACAGACTGAGAACAGGCGAGAGGCCCCCTGCTTGGACAGCCATCCAAGTGTGAAGCGGAAAGCTGCCAGCTTCACCCCTGCCGCCTCACAGACACCGAAGAGCCTCTTCTCTGCGATCCATGGCATCTCCAAGCATCGCGGCTTTCTGAGGCCGGGGGCGTTGTTGCGCTCCACGAGGCTCTGCAGCCGCTCGAGCGTCGGCTTTGAAGCCACCTCTCCACACGCGCATCGGATCCCTCGAAGCCCCCGGAGCGCGCTTTCTCTCGGCTCTCGGGGCCTCTGCGAACTTGTGGACATCCGCGACGCGTGCGGTCAGAACTGACTTGGCCTTGTCCATGGCCTGCGGGAGCTCTCTCCACACGACCGAGGGAGCGAGTCCAGCGAGTCATAGCTGGGCGGGGCGAATAACTCAGCGAGTGCGGTGACAGAGCGGGGGAACGAAAGGGAAAGGGAAGTCGGGAAGTGGTGGGATGCGGATAAGAGACTGAGTACGGAGTGAACCGATGGTGTGACCGAGTGTCGTGGACAAGTTCGAAAGAGTAGCTGCTCTACAGTACTGCGGCACTCTTCGCCCGAAACCGAGAGCCGGTGAGTGTGCGAGTACACCAACACCGCGATAAGCTGTGGGCCCACTGAAGCTAAGGCTACTCGTGACTCGCGAGAACTTGCGGGAGCCTCCTGCACCTGTTTTGCAGCCGACTCGCAATCCGCGATGGCCGTGGAGGCTTCCTTCAGGGGCAATACCTGGCAAAGAAAACACGGCCACTGCAGCACACCCGCGGCCGAACGCTAAGCCTCGATGCCCTTGAGAAAAGGAAGCTCCGCCTGGAAGCGCCCACATTCCGCAAGCCGCACACGACCACAGAAGCTCCTGCCCCCTCGCGGCCCTCGCGGCCCTCGCGGCCCTCGCGGCCCTCGCGGCCCTCGCGGCCCTCGCCTCCGCGATCTTCTGGAGGGAGGCCTCCACAGCCTCCACCTTCTGCTCCGCCTCCTTCACGTAGGCCTCAGCCGACGCCGATGCCCCGTGAGGCCCGGTGAGTTTGGCGGAGGCGGTGCGGACCTCGGCGTGAGCCTTCTCTCTCTGGGCTTTCGTGGTCTGCTTCACCTCTACAAGAAGCCGGGAGACGGAACCGCGCAAGAAAACGGTTTAGAGTCAGCGGGCCGCCGGCCTTCTCAATTTTCTGGTTTGCCTCCTTGACTCTCTCTCTTAAGTGGTTCAGCGGGATCTTCAAGGACGCCGCAGCGCCTCACGAACGCGGTTTCAAAAATGCAAAGACGGCGACTGCATGGATTAGGGCCTTTGAGTTGAGCATCTAATGATGCTGCCCCGCCAGCGGTGGCCTCGCTTTCCAATCTTGTCAAACGGCCCCTCAAATCGCTGAGGTGGCTGGCTGCTTGTGCTTTCTTGATGGTTTCATCGACATTCTTCAGATCCTGTCCAGCAGTAGCGGTGGGGTTTGTACTTTTGCACGCATGTAGATTCAGCCGCAGAATGATTAGTCAGAAATCTGGGGTTCTGGATACGCTCACCACGCCTCCGCCTTGACTTCTGGACCGTCGAACAGAACAGCCAGTTTCTCCATCTGGTTGAGGCAGTCGCATGGATTTCTTCTTTCGCTCAGCAGTCTGAGCGTGCCTCCTCAATCTGCTCATCGATGGATTTGACCCTTGCTTCTTCTGTCTCGATGACCTTGACATGCACGTAGTTCCACAAGCTGAGTGGTGGCAAAGACCGGCAGGGACGTGACCAACAAAAAGCATCACCGTCGTTACTGGTAGCGCCTTCTTGCTTCGGATGACGGCATCTCCGTTTTTTGCAAGCTGCCTCGCAGACAGGACTGATTCCACAAGTACAGCTAACTACAACACCTTCACAGTGGCTCCCAAATTAAATCTCAGCAAGCCAAGCTGGAACTTGCCTGCTCTTGACCATTTCTCCATGTGCGGCTGCCAGCTTGCTCTGGAGCTTTGACAGCTCTGACCTCTGGAGTGGGGGTGGGTGCAGGTGGGTGGACGGGTGGGGCTCATGCCTGGGAAGCCTGGGGTTCAGACAGCAGGGAGTTCTCCTTGACCTGCTTCTGCTTAGCAGTGATGACTTCGCGGGCCGCATTGTAGGCCCGAACAGAGTCCTGCAGGCACACACCTCCAAAGAAGCTTCGAGTCTAGCTTCAACCTCTGTGAGGCAGCTGGTTACGGTAGCTGTGCACTAGACGAACACTCTAATTTTCACCCCTCTCGCGTGCCGCGCTGCAGAACTGCCTTCTCTGCCGCCCGCGACTGATCAATGGCATACTTCAAGACATCGACCGTGACCTCCGAGTGTGGCTCAACGAGGCGAAATGCGCTAGAGATGTTTGGGGAAGACACCCCAGAAACGCTTGAGACTAAATTTGGGGAGTCGTCCAAACGTTTTGGCTCCAAGGTGGCAAAACTGCTCCGTGGCTCGACCGTAGCACTGTAGGCTTAACTTGGTATGCTGTGCAACGGCCTTGAGCCGCAGCCCTTCTGATCTTCTGCCTCTCTTCTCTCTTCGCCTATGTTCTGCCGGCCTGGCCCAGGTTCTCCGTGCCCAAGACCTTCACGACCTTCGGGTTCAGAAGAGCGCACGGGGCTTGAGACTTAGGAACACGCCAGGCCAGCCTCTGAGAAAGTCTGGCACTGGCTCTCGGCTTCAGCCTTGTCACGGGTCTGGGATGACAGGCCGCCTCTCAATGCGTTGCAGCCGAAACACCACTTTTTCCGTGACTTCTTGAAGCATTGCTTGGGCTTTCCGCTGCTGCGTCTCTTTCCTGCGCAGTCGAAGGAAAGCAAGGAGGAAACCATTTTAAGCTCCAGGGCCGGGGCTTGAAGCTGGCGAGCTTCTTCGCTGTTTCTTCTCCACGGAGCCGAAACCTGAGCTTCCCCCCAATTTGGGCCCCAGAAGCCCAAGGCTCCTCAAGAGGGCTTCCCCGAGGCCGGATCTTGGCAAGCTTCTCCTTCAGCCGATCTTTCACCTTTCAAGAACCCCGCCCCCCCTCCCCCTCCTCCCATCCAGGAAACCTTCAAGAGCCGGTCGTTGGCCTCCTTGGAGAACTTGGTCTTGGATTCGTTAACCACCTTCTCGTGCAAGAGCCTGCCAGTTGCCGGCTTTCTCAGGTAAGTGCAACATCTTGAAGTAGTGAACTAAGTAGTGGGTCCCACCTGGCTTGCTCCAGTGCAACTTCGCACTTCTTGGCAGCAGCCTGATGGGGTCTCCACAATCTTGAATTCATGAGTTGTGGCCACGCTTTGTGTCCAACACTCCCGCCCCCCGGCCTCGCACATGGCGACAGCTTGGATTCCCTCTTCTCGAGGCAGGACCTGCAAAGGAAGAACATGGATACAACGTCCACTAACAACGGTCCTGTCGCGGCAGGCCTCGAGGCCCTTCAGGAAAGGCCTCGACAACACAGGCCACATGCCCGCTGTGAGCAACGCGAGCCACAACGACGAGGGCAGGACATCTCTGCTTCTGACGTCGCCAGGAAGGCCTTTGACTGCCCAACATTACCAAGTCTTTTTGCTTTCCCCCCAAACTTGCGGAAGCCTCCTCGGCTAGCTCCACCTTTTCTGACACCTGATATTGAGCATCCGTTGTTCGAAGACAAACTTGGTTTAAGCTGACGAGCAGACTGGCAACACACGGGATGGCCTGGTTCTGGAGGACATCGACTTGAAGCGATTCTTCTTGTCGTTTCAGCACTGTGCCTGAGAGCTCAGCTCTGTGCACAGCTTGCAGAGGCATGAGGGCGACTCCGCACATTCCTGGGAGCTCCGGCGAACACCTGCCATTTTGTTGCGGGTCTCGACACTCCGGCGCTGTAGCTCCTGAAGCTCGCAATAGTAATCTACGACACCACAAGCTTTAGTACCAAAAACAACCATCCACTCACAATCAAGTCAAGTCCACGATGGAGGTCAAATGTATGGCTGCTTCAGCTGCTTCTTCTGGCCAGTGATTTTGAATGAAGATGGTGCTGATGGTGATGATGACGATGACGATGACGTTGACGCTGACGCTGATGACGATGAAGACGACGACGATGATGACGACGACGACCACGACCACGACGACGACGACGACGACGACGACGACGACCACGACGACCACGACGACCACGACCACGACCACGACGACGACGACGACCACAGCGGCGAAGGCGACGGCAAGGATGACGATGATGATGATGATGGTGGTGGTGATGATGATGAAGAAGAAGACGATGATGATGACAACGAAGATGACGATGACGATGACGATGGCGACGATGACGATGACGATGACGATTACGATGAGGATGAGGATGAGGATGGTGATGATGATGATGATGGTGATGATGATGATGATGGCGATGATGGTGATGGTGATGATGACGACGAAGATGGTGACGATGACGATGACGACGATTATGACGATGACGATGACGATGCTGGTGCTGATGATGATGATGATGGTGATGGTGATGAAGATGATGGCGATGATGGTGATGGTGATGGGATGATGGCGGTGGCGGCCATGGCGGCGGCAGGGTGGCGGCGGCAGTGGCGGGGTGCTGGGTGGTGATGAGGTTGCAGTGGTGGTGTGGGCCCGATGGAACGGTTGTGGCTGCTGGCCACCTCGACCAGGTCATGTCACCCAACTTCACTCGCGATTGCCGCGGCATGTATTTTCAGCCATCAAAAAGACTCAGAGCGACAGGCCGCTCTCGTCAAGTTTTGATGTGTAGTTTGCTGCACAGGGTCTCATCAGATCTGCTCCATGCATCGTGTTTCGATTTCAGAGGCAGGCACAACTTTTGCTGTGACACCGTGGCGCTAAGTCTACCTTGCATCTGGATTGGTTGCTTAATGACACTGGTTGAAGATTTGTAGCCAAAGTATGGGCCAGCCCGAGGCTGGCTCCTGAGAGTGGTGGCGACAAGTCAGGTGGGACGAAGACGAAAACCCCTGAAGCTCGTCCGTAAAGGCTCCAGAGTGACCCAAGTCTCGGTGGGCGGCTCGCCTCCAACTCCTTGCGCTGTTGCTCAGCTTCTCCGTCGTTGCCGGAGAGCGCCTTTGGTTTTTGAGCATTGCGGGGATTGGAGTATGCAGGATTTCCGGGCTTGGGTTTCAGTGGGGTTATGGTTCACAAACGGTCGCAGACCCTTGCAGAGCCAGACTACACTCAAGCCGCCTTTCTCCCTGCATTGCAGGGCCAATTCACACAACAATGAAGCATCTGATGAAGAAACTTTAAAAAAAAGCATTCGTAAATGCAAAGTTTGCATAAGCTTTTTTTTCGAACTTTGGACGGTTTGGAAGGGGCTCAGAGGTGAGAGTCTGTGTTTTATTTTTAGTAGCAAGAAGCCAGTTTTTCTAAACAAGGTTCGTACGTACTAATAACAAGACTTGTGCCTTCAGTCTCCGCTCGATCATCTGCACCGACTTTTGGAGGTCCGCCTGGTGGAAAGCCCCACGAAACAGATTCCTAGCTCAGGCACCCGCAAACGCACCTCGGCCGGCTGCAGGAGCTTTGAGGTAGAGCTGATCTCTTCCTGGAAATGCGTGGAGTCAAAGCGACACTCGGAGGCAGCCCTCTTGCAGAGGCCACGGGCAGGGAAGAGAGCGGCTCTGTTTCGGTTTCTCACGCGATTCATAGGCCTGGCTTGCGCCAGAAGATACAGATGCCTGGATGAAGCTCGTCGATTTGCGAGCTGAGCTGCTCGTCGTAGGACAGGCTGGGGGCGTGCGCGGCAGCGGCTCTCATGGCTTCTTGCCGTTTTTCACCGACCCCACAAGTCAAGATGGCTGCCCGGCGCGTGTTGGCCTCGAGGTTGGTCCAAACCTGGGCCCAAACCTCCGGCCTCGCGGCATAGTCGGTAGCAGCCGAGAGGCACATGGTTACATCGAAGTTGGTCCAAAGCCTGACCTCTTCGCCGTACAGCCGCAGGTGTTCCACGACATTTCGGCTAAGCAGCTTGATGTTGCTGCAAGCATCGAAGGCATATGCCCGGACTAGGCCTGTCTCGTTAAGGAAGCTTGCAGCCGTGCCGATTCCTGCACAAAAGTCGGCGACCTGGCTGTCCCTGGAGATCACATAGCGCAACAAGCCGCGGAGCAGTGGCTTCGGAACGTCCCAGTCCTCGAAGGTCTCACGGCGGAGCACCTCGATGGTGGACAGAGCGATGCCATCAGCTTCCCTTGGGGTGAAGGCCGGGAGCGGTGGCCCCGGTCTGGCGGGAACGGCTGTTCCGTTGCTGCTGGCTTCGATCTCCTCCTTGCTCTTCCAGTTCACCATGACGCTCTCGTAAGTACGAAGGTCTGCCTGCAATCAGGGGCCAAATGCAGGTTATGACCTGCCTGTTAATTCATGCCTACCCAGTGCCATACACCGTGGAGTAAGCCTTGCGAATTTGATGCTGGTTTTCGCAACTTACTTGGACAGGCTCCCGAATGCATTTCCTGAGGGAAGCGTCTTACGATCTGTCTCTTCCAAGTGCCGCTGCATGCCGCATGCCCCGCATGCCCGCATGCTGCAGTATGGCAGCACATGGAGTCGAATCTTCGTTAAACTAAGAGACTAGCAGTTGGAAGATGTTGGAAGATACGCTTCCTTCAGGCAGCTATGGACACGGCTGCACCCCTGAAGTCAGGAAAGAAATGACATGGCTTGAACTACGGCATTGTTGAAGTGTTGCAACACTAAATCAAATGGGTGCGTCTTGCGCATCTTGGACATAAATGGGAATCATGGGAACGGATGAAAGCCACTTAAGGAACGCCTCGAACAGGTCCACGACCTCGGCTAGCCACTTCCCTGCACCCTGGCGCACAAGCTCTGCAGTGCCCTGGAAGACCAGCCAGAGGTGACGCAGTTGGCTGTGCAGCAAAGTCTTCAACCGCCGGAAGCTCATGAGGAAGAGGAGCTGCAGATGCTCATTGAGGCACTCGAAGCGGGCCGCGGAGAGCATACCGTGGATGTGCACGTAGGCAGACAACAAGGAGGCAGCCGCAGACATGTGGGTCATTGCCCACGCACTCGAACCACCCATGGCCCCCTGCAACCGAAAGGCTTCATCTTCAGCTGTAAAGTTACCACGCACGTAGTCCAGCTGGGTCCGTATCCGGTCCCTTGACAGGTAGACATACTCCAGGAAATCGGAGCAGTTGAGTGATTCATTCAGGGCAAAGTCGATCTGACTGTCCCAGTCTGCTATGTGCATATCCACTGACGTTGTGAATGCATCTGCTAGTCTGCAGATGGGCCTCTGCTCTGCTAGACTTCTCGCGACTAGAACCGCCAAGATGGATGCGCGAGCCATCTCAACGCACGCGCCCTGAGCTGACCATGAGGTGCAACGCTGGAGCCCAAACACAACAAGCGGTCGAGGCCCTCTGCATCTAGAATCTAGTCTTTTCCGGTGGCCTTGCACTCTTGTAGCCTGCATACCGTCCTAGCCTCCTCCATCTTCGATCCAGTGGAGTCTGCTGAAGATGTCATGATGTGCGCCTTGAAAGGCGAGATCGGCGAGACTCTATGCCAGCTCAGCTTCACATCTGCTCGCCTTCTCGACCTCCAGCTCCGCACCTGTCAGAGGAAGGCGTGTACGGGAGGCCTCTCCCTTTCCCTTGGGCACTCCTCTCATCTCCTTAGCCCCAGGCTGCTGAGCGTCTTGGTGATTTCAGCCAAGGCCTTTTTGGCATTTGCCTTCTGCTCGAAGTCCTCGGAACGGAAGCGAAACGCACTCACCCCGCTCGATCAGCTCTCTCTGCCCCCGCACCCCCCGGGCCCCCTCTCCTGTCGGAACTTCTTCAGGGGCGACAGCCTTTTGGAAGCCTCGAGGATTTTGCGGTCGAGATCCTGGTCAACACTAACCCTGAATGATTCGAGGACCCACTTTGCACAAGTGCTTGAAGCAAGCGAAGCCAGGAAAGAGGCCGACTTTTTGGATGGTCTTCGACAGAGCTCCAAGGGAGCACGGACCGAAAGGATTCCACGAAACATTCCGTCGGTGACGCTTTGCCACCAGATGAGGACAACGAGACTTTAGCTCCGTCCCATGCTTCATTGACATTTACATCAATTTACATCCAACTATAGAGGCCTACACAAGAGATTGTGGCTTCAGGGCCGCAGGGAGCAGGGTGGCCCTGTCCCGGCGTTTCATGTTGCCTTGACCCGTTGCCCGGCCTGCCACCCCCTGTAACAGAGCTTCGCAGACGGTCCGGGCCAACAAAAGGCTATCCCATTCCCAAGCTGCTTGCTGCTGGTCGCGCAGTAGTAGCTTCAGGCAGGATCGCATGAATGGCATGCAGAGGATGTTACACAGGGAAGGCCTCACGTTCGGATCCTTCTCCAACAGGCTCATGGTAAGATGGCTAAGATCTTCGGAATATTGGGACGGAATCGGAGCCGGCCGGGAATGACAGATCTCCATCACAAGCGAAACCAGGGACTCGGCTTCAAAAGGTGCCCTGAGTGCTGCGACTTCGTAGATTGTCACGCCCAGGGACCAAACATCGCTCTGGGTGCCGTAGCGCTGCTTGTGGCAGACCTCCGGGGACGTGTAGAGCGGCGTACCTGCCGGTGTCTGCGCAAGGGACGCTGAGAGATCAACGCGCTTGGCCAGGCCAAGGTCTCCCAGCTTCACCAGGCGGCGCTTCGTGAGAAAGATGTTGGTCGGCTTCACATCACGGTGCAAAATCCGGTTTCGGTGCAGGTAGGACAAGGCAAGCACCACTTGCGAGCTGACGCTCATAACCTCGTGCTCCGGGATGGCTTTGCCCAGGTCCAAGGCTTCTTGAATTCTAGCCGCCAGGTCGCCCGCATCCGCAAAGCCCATGATGATGTACAGGAATGCGCTTCCAGAACGGCTCTCTTCGACGAAGGAGTCCACAAAGTCGATGACGTTGGGATGGGATAAACTCCTCAGTAGCTCAGCCTCTCGGATGGCATCCTTCTGCTTCTCTCTATGGAGGTGAGACAAGGAGGTCATCTTCGCCACCAGGAGCTCCCTCTGATGCTCCTCCCCCTTTCGCTGCACTAGGTAGGCCGTTCCAAAAGCTCCCTCGCCCACAGCTCCGAGGAGGTCATAGCGGTCCTCCAACATGGGACTACCTTCTACTTGCGGCCTCGCCGTTAGGCGAAATTCCTACATCCTGAATGAGCCGATCCTCACCTTCAGACACGACACGTCCGTGGCTCTACAACTCTACTGTACTAGTACCCCCTCACCTTCTTGCAAGACCCACATGACCCACATGCAGCGCCCCCAACCCCCAGCCTGGTACTCTTTCATTGCCACCTGTCCCCATGCCCCAGATCCACTCAGAAGGCTGGGACACGCTTTCCGGACAAATTCTCCGAAATCTGGCCTTCTTTGCCTCGGGCGCATAGCGCTTTATCTCCACGAGGCGACTTTGGACAATCTTCTTGGCCTCTCCGGGGCGTGATGCACAGTGTGCCGAGCTCGAAGGCAGACGGACCCCTCTGACCCTCTGCTGCCGGCACCTCGATCAAGTTTGTGGAAGCCTTCGTCGCAGCCCTCAGAAGCAAGCATGGTACGATTGCTGCCGGGCTAACTACTACAGAGAAGGTCCCGGCTTCTCGATGTCCTGGATCGCCTTCGTCTGAGTCTCGCCGGCATCTGGGACATCTTCGTCGATGGACACAGCCGCCGCAAGGATGGCGACCGTCCTTGGACGGCTTACAAGGAAGGCAGGTAGGCGCAAAATCTTCCAAGACCCCCTGAACGTTGAGCCCGGGCACTCGACAGCATCCTCGGCGTCGGTGACGACCTGCATAGCCTCTCCGACATGCCGCGCGAGATCCCATGCCACCGGGACCGCTCGGACATCACCGCGTCCCATCATCAAATTTGCGGCGATTGCACTCAAACGAGGTGCCTGGGGCAGCGCTGCTTGAAAGGCGAGGACCTCTGAAGTTGCAAAGCCGGCAGCAGAGCGAGCTAAGATGTTCGAGGTCATGCTAAAGAAAAAGTATGCGTGGCTTGGCGATGCGTTTAGCTTAACGGCTCAGCAGCTGACATCCTTCTGCTCTGCCTCGGCGGCGGCCTCTGCGGCACTGGCCTGAAGGCTGCTCAAGTTTACGATGACTCAAATCCAGGCACCTCGGGTCCGGGCCTGCTGCTTGGCATGTTCCGCAGCCTTTCTGACCTGATGAAAAAAGGCACAAAAGGCGTCATTCGCGGACGTGTTTTCTTCTGCCATGTCTTCTGCGAAGCCTTGGCCAAGGCTAGCTTGACCTGAGCACGGCAGCAAGGCATTCTGCGAAGGAGCTGCAAGGCGGCAGAGTCCTGAAAACTTTATAGGCCCTAAGAAGCCCCCCCAAGCCAAACCGAAACCTGAAAGAACCTGACCACTGCAGCTCCCACTCGGCCCCTGGCGGTAGAGAGCTCCTTCTCACAACTCGCGTGGAGCGCTCGGAGCCTGGGCCTCGGCGAAATCCGGGCTGATTAGAGGGGGGCGGTGAGGATTCACAGGGGTTTTTTGTGGCTTTCGGAGACTGTCGGAGTTGGAGCTGACGTGAGTACTTAAGGTCTGGGCAGTGTAGGAACACGTCCAGACTGAATATCGAAAGTCAGAAAGCCAACATCTACATGAATGGAGTAGCATGGTAAGCTGCGAGATCAGATTGACAGATGCTGAGACAGGTCTCGTGCCCCTGAGGCTCCGACAGTAGCCGAGCAAACTCCCCCACAGTGCCCTGGGTTGAGCCGCTTGCTCGTGCATCCTGCACCTCCTGACAGAGAAGTTTTATAGGCGCGTTGTAGCTTCAGGCTTTCGGCTTCGTTGTGGTGAGCCTTTTCAACATCCGAACCGCGCTTTACCCGTCTGTTCTTTGTGACGACATGCATTACAGCTTGCTCTACGAACGCTTTCTTGCGGGATGCACTGGGTTTTTGTAATGTTCGTTTGGTGATCTGGCAACCCTGGCAACCCTGTGTTTCTCATTTTTCTTTGCACACACTTGCGGAACGGGTCTTGCAAGGCCCTTGGAAGCAGCTTTTTCATGGCCAAGCAGCGTATTGGAATGTTTGTACGGCTAGGTTCCTGCCGCTGTGCCGGTTGGGTGGGGGGACTTGAAGATTGGCTGATAGGCTTGGGACTCACGCATTGAAGGTTTGGAGCAGCATTCGCTTGTCAAGACCAGGCCACTTCCGACTGACTGTTTGCACACGGCGATACTCATGTCTTTCTTGCTCTACTGCAACAAACTTGACATTGGACAAATTCGAGTTCTCAAGGACCGACCTAGTGCGTCTACACTGCAACGCTGTAATGACATCTCCTTGGCAATGTCCTTGTGTTCTGCCTGGATTGTCTCCTGGACAGTGCTCAAGGCATCACCAGATTCAACATGAATGGACCTCTTCACCTCAGCTTCTAAAGGCTTTTGGAACAGACAGCATGTTGGTTCTGTGTACTAGGGCCCCTGCCATCTGGGCTTTGAGTTGCGAGTCTGCTTCCAGGATCGTCGCTTCATCAACGTCCTCGTCAGAAGACCACCGTGCAGGCAGATTTGTCCCAGCAGGGATGGTGCAATCGCAATTGCGCAACCGTGCAACCGTGCAATCCTCGGCAGCCAGCATATCCTTCGCCGCTCTGACCGCCTCACGCGCCATGCAGCACACTCAAGGCATCATCCAAAAACCCCCGCCACGGCGACCGCACCTGCTGTGTTTCCGCTTCTGCTGAGGTAACTCGATCCGCTGCCAAGCGGATACGCCTGGGTGACAGGCGTGGGATGTCCTGAATATGGTACTGCTGAACTGCTGCATGTCGGCTCAGCCCTGCGCTCTTTCAGTAAATCTTTGTCTGTCTCATCTGGTTCCTGGACCTTGGCCTTCACTGCCTTGGGTGGTACCGTAGGGGCCGTAGGGCTGCTTGTTGAAACCGGCTGCGCCATGCCGGCATTGAGAACCTCGACCTTAACGCGAGCCATGAAACGGAGCAGCTCTCCCGACTCGGTGACAACTTCGATGGCCCGACACAAAGCAAGCCATCCGGGGCGTCTCCATCCCAGGGCACCTTCCAGCCCCGCTCTGGTGGAGCCTCGGAGGCAGACGCTTCTTTGCGGGACGGGGGGGGGGGGTAAGCCCGAGAACCAGCCTTGCCGTTGTCCGTGGCACGGGACCAGACCTGGGATCCACCGACCTTCGGCTTGACAGATGCCATGCGAAATCTAGGACCAGGAGATTCGCCGATGTAGGGGACGTTTGCGGCCTAAGTTGTAGGGTTTTGTCGGAGGCTTGTAGGATTTTGGCGGCTCGGACCTTGTCGCCGAACCACCAACCAGAAAAGTCGACACCATCCTGAGAGTCTGCAGGCATCATTCCCTGACCCTCTCGGGAGGTGGTAAGTGAGGCACACGAGTGTCCCAGTAGTAGACGTAGACGCTGACCTTGTGACATGCTGACAAAGCTCAGCCTAGTATCTCCATGTACTCCATGATAGCTGGTGAATAAGTGCCGTTGATGCTGTAGCAGGGTCCGGCAATGTGCTCAATCATGAACCGGTCGCACACTAGGGACTGACTTTAATGACTCAGGCAGCTCCATGCCTCGTCTTGGCTAGGCGCGTCCACCACCTCTACTGAGACTCTTCTGCTCTACTGGGCATCTTTCTTCCAACCGATGGACACGCCTTCTGGTATGTCGGACGACCATGGTTCACGCCTCAAGACAGCGCGGGCGGCGTGTTTTTTTCGCGTGAGCGCAGGCTGCACGTGTTGCGCGCTTGGCCTTGCTCCTCATAGTCGCCGAGCAGGGTCCCGATTCCGAGCTCATCCTGCTACGACACAGGCTGCAGGGCAGACAGTGCAGTGTTCGTCGGCTCCGTTTGCCATGGCCTCCTCTGCCTCGGAGAAGACGCGCAGCCGGCTGCGCTTTCCGTTCTGGGCAGAGGGAGGGCTCTCCCGCCTCAGGTGCAGCTCCGCAGGTCTCAAAGCTCCTGCAGCTGCAGCAAAAAGGGAGCCCCGCTTGACGGGTACTTGTGGTAGGGGCCGGCCTCGCAACAACAGCTTTGCGAATCCCCTCGGTGCATTGACAGAACAGCTTAGGCCCCGACGAGGCCGATTCGTGGGAGCCTCAAGACAGCAGGTCCTAGGCCCTAGCACAAAAACATCACAAATCCGGGAAGCTTTTGAAGAAAACCACCAAAGATCACCGAAGGTCAATGTCATAAACCCACAAGCCATCTGATGCCAGCAGCCTGCGTCCGGTCACTTGGCTTCCCCACGCGGCCAGGAGCCTTCATTCACAGCACTGGGGACTTAACTACAAGCATCTTGCTTGGAAAAAGCCGGAGAAGTAGGTGAATTCGGAAGCATCCCACGTCACGCAGCCCGTGGAGAATGGCCTGCGGGGGCTGGAGGCCACGATGCATCCAGTCAGCCTGGCCTCAGACAAGCAAACCCTTAACAGATGAATTTCTTATGTGAGTTTGAAAAGGGGGCCCTATTAAACAAGAGAACTCTGCTGCTTTTTCCCCCGGGGCTGCCAAGCGGCAAAATCGGCTTGGCCGCTCGAGGTCGAGGCATGGGCTAAGGACTTGTGTAAAACCACTCGCGAGGCGCGACTTCGTTGGGTCTCTTGGGGGTGCTCTTGTTTGGGGGGTTGGTTGCTGTCAGGGGTCTCTGTGGGGATCTGTAGGGTGGGATATATGGTGTGGAGTGAGGTGTTCGAGTGTTCGGGTGCATGGGCTGTTGCCGCAGGAAGTTCTGTAACTTTGGCGTGCTCACAGCTACCGCTTGTACTTGAGCAGGACGAGATGCCAGCGTATTTCGGCTATAGTCGGCATCTTCTCAGTGCTTGATGCGACTGGGGAAACCATGGCGCAGAATATCTCCGACGGGCTTTTGACCATGGCTCTGCGCTCGGAAGGAGGGTTGAGGTCGGAGGGAAGGGGGTGAAAGAGGGCCAGGATGTTCCCAGCCCACATGCCTCGGGACACATGGCAAATCTCTTCACGCAAAATGCTTCCCCAAACGACAAGCCTTGGCCCTCGGCGCTGTCATGGCTTCGGTGCAAAGTCCAAGATTGACAGAGGGTGTGCCTGTGCTTCGTCGGGCGAAGTAAACAAACCTTCCAGCTTTTGTCTTGAGGTCCCTCCTCTGTGTTGAACACGTAGCGGTCCAGCTTCACGTCGTGATCGGCCTGAATGTCTTTATGACCTCCTCGAAATCCCTTTCGTGTGGCGCCGCACCTGGCCTGGAGCAAAAGGAGGTATTTCAAAGTCTCGGCGATGAAGAAGCTCTCCATCCTTGCCATGGCGAAGCCAACGCGCAAGCAAATTTTGCATGCCTGCGGTGAAGGGTCGGGCACCGACCTGTCCAAGTAGCTCTTGGAAGTCTGTCGCACATCCTTCAAAGAAGCATACCTGAATCCAGTGCGCTACTAGCTGACGCTTTGGAAACATCCCCCTTCCCAACGACACCCTTCACAAGGCCTTCCTGGTTGTGGTCGAATCATGCAAGACTCTAGGAAGAGATGATAGAACTCCCATTGATAGACGTGTCTCCTCTTTCCATTCACACAACGACCGCCAAAAGCCGAAACTCAAATCGAAGATGCCCCGCCCTGATGCCCCGAGGACCCGACCCATGCGGGACCCAGAGCCACTTCCTTGCATGCGTAGTTTCAGTTTTGCGTGCGACGTCTCAAGAATCCCGATCTAAGCTGTGCGGAAAGTGCACAAACCCTCTGGAGATGATCCCTGCCGGCAACACGATAAACCTCCGCCATTGTTGCGGCTTAAGAAGGGCTGGGGTTCCGTACCGCAGAGGTTCCTCAGGCCACATGCGGCCGCGAGCTATGACCCAACTCCCCATGACAAGCTCAATTACACGAACCAAACCTCCTCAATGAAAGCAGCAAAATGGACTTTTGGAAGCCTTCGCGCATCGGCCAGGAGGTGGCACACAGTTTCAGGGGGCTTGAAGGCCCAATCGGCGTCCGAGAACTCGACGCGAACTCCAGCAAAGGGAGTGCCGGCTTTCTCCCGTCGCAATGCTTCCAACTGCTTGAGGAGCTCCTTCGTCTTTGGCAGGAGCTGTTGGTCGGCCTGCGGCTCAAGGCCGGTGGCAAGTTCCAGCTCAGCCACTCGGTCAGGTGCCTTTTGCAGAAGCGACACCATGAGTTCAAGCAGACCCTCTGGCTCCAATTCCAAGTTTTCGAGGAAGGCAGGAACCAGCACTTTCCGCCTCCAGCCGTCGACCGAGGCCCGTATCAGCAGATGCACCGCATTCAGATCCAGCTGCGCCAGGACGGCATTGGCCTGGAAGAGCCGCAGCACAGGGTGGCTACTTGTGGGCCTGTGGATGCCGAAGATCGCCTGAGGCACCGCGCGCTTCAAGATCCGCTCGTGTCGTGGCGGCGACTCGCCCAAAGGTGAGGACGGAGAACTTGGAGAGCTTGGGGAGAGGTGATCAGAACGCACCAGGCCGTCTTCAATTTCTGCGAGGCTTCTAACATGTCCCTGAACCTCTAGTTGTGCCGTGTTCAGCAGTTCCTCCCACGCCCCCATTGTCTGTGGGATCTCCGAAATCCCGACATATTTCAAGGGCGAAGTTGCGGCGATCAGCGTGGCCGCATTGAGGCAGTTCAACCAAAAGCTGAGGCAGGCCTCCAGCCTCTTGCCCTGCAGCATCACGCACTGCAGCTCCGCCAAGGGCTCGTGAAGCCGCTCCAGCTTCCGCCGAAACCCGTTCCCTCCGCTGTGGCCGTGGCCCTTGCGGCCCTTGCCTTCCCTGCTCCCCGTGCTCACGGTGCTCGCTCCGGCTGAGGTGCTTGCCGCGGCATCCGCAGCGCTCGCAGGGCTCGCGGCGGCTGCGGCTCGGAAGGCTCCGATGAGGAGGTCCTGAGAAAGCAACTCCGGGTCTCGGTCGGTCCAACTGCAGAAACGCCGGTGGTTCAACACCGACGTCTGGCTCGGCCCCTGAAAAGGCAACAGCTCCACGCAGGGCTCACAAGGCTCCTGACAAAGCTCCCGCATCTGCTCGTACGTCACCATCGGATTGGCCAGGGTGTGCCGAGGAGAGACAGGGTCCCCCTCTTCGTCGGAACCAGGGCAAACGAAAGCCAAAGCCGGGTCATCTACCTCTGCCAGAGCAAGGGCCGATGGGTTGGCGATTGCGAGCAGCCGGCGCGCATAGCACATCGAGTCCGTGACCGTCGATTCAGAGAGTGGCTGATCGCGCCGGTTCAACTGCAGTACTTCGCTGAGGCGGTGGGGCTCTAAACTCCCCATCAGTGCCAGCATCCGGTGAGTCGGCAAGGCAGCTGGCCTGTCGACGATTGCCAAGTGTGTCTGCAACAGAAACTCATCCGGAGCCGACAACCTGCGCGACAAGACTGCATACAACAAGACAGCCGATGTCCAAAAGTCGGCCATGCCCGCGTGAAATCTGCCCTTGTCGCTTGCCAATGCCTCATAAAATCCCAGACAGAGGTGCCGTGTCCACTGAGGGCAGTGTAGGCCAGCCGCACTAGCTGCCAGGTCACTCCTTCGCAACGAGGCCTCCTCGCGAAAAGCCGACACCAGACTTTCCCAGCAGCCAGCGAACTCCACCGGCTCCGCGACGGGCTCCGAGATTGCGATGGGCTCCGCCTGCAGCGCCTCGCCATCACAGTCGCCCCGCTCCCATTCTGCCAGCACTTCCCCGTGGTCCAGGGCTGCTGTCCGTGCAGGCTCTGTCGCCTCCAAGGATGCGAAGGAGAGGTGCAATTGCAGAGGAGGGCTGTGCTGCTGGAGTACGATCGCCGCCCGCACAATCCCGTCCAATGGTTCCTGCAAAAAACCGCACCGTTGGTTTAGGAAGCTTCTCATGTCCGACCAAGAAGGCATCTAGCTTCACGCTTCAGCCTTGGGAGTTCTGCTCAACAACTGGGTAACTCAAAACGCCCGAACAAGTTTCCAGTCCAATGTTGAAACTCTAGTGCTTTTCGCTAGGCACAGGTAGGTTTGGAGCAGTGGTTCAGCGACTTTCAGGTTCGAGGCTGCGATCTTCCTGCGAGCTCGGCGACATCGGAGCAAAGTAGGGCTTCGGCAAGATGTACCGCGTGCTTCGCACGGCCTGTGCCTGTGCCTGTGCCTGCATGGCCTCCGCGAAGGGGGACTTTGACGGACCGAAAAGGTGCAGCGTCTGCAGGTACGCCAGAAAGGCGTTGGTTTGCACGAAGGACTGGAAAAAGGGCTTGTCCTTGGCGGAGACCTTAGCTGGTGCAAAGCTTCGGTCCCAACGATGGTTTCCACTTCCAGGTTCCCAAAACAAACTTTGCAAGAGGACGAGTTGACGACAGCTCCATAAATATCCTGGGAGCATTGGAGAGGAACTGGCCCTCTTGGAAAGACTCGAGCACCGAGGCTGCCGTCGCAACCTCGCAGGAGGGACCAAGCGAGCCAGGCACATCGCCCAACAAATCGGAGGTGAAAGTCAAGAAGATCCTTTGCACCGATGCGTCGAAGTCGAAGCCATCAGAGTCCTTGAAGCTTCTCTCGGGCCAAAGATCTTGGAAGGCCTCGAATCTCGAGCGCAGCTCTGTCAGGCTGAACCTCAGCCGGCTCTGCGCCGCCTCCGGCAGGTTCGGCAGCGAGACGTCGTTCGTCGTCGCGTCCGGAGTTGGATGCATGTCTCCCGTGTCCAGATCAAAGATGGAAAAGTCCCGGTCTGGTTCCGCCAGAATTTCACTCGAGAGCAGGTCGTGGGAGTCTGCAAAGCTGTCTTTCAGGAAGATGTCGCGTAGGCAACCGAAAAGGAACGGAGGAGGCGTTGCCAAGTAATCCATCGATGGCAGCAGCGGGTTGTAGCAGTGCACCCAGGCCAGGGGAAACATCAGGATGGATGAGAACGCTTCACATGCAGTGGTCAGAAACGCAACAGACGAGGAGACAAACAAGACCTTCTGCTCCAAGAGCAGCAAGCGGATTACCAGCAGCAGCGCCGAAATGCTCAATCGTGTAAGCAGTTGCTGGAGGGAGCTCGGAACGTAAACGGCAGGAAGCCCGCAGGCGGGTCTTTCCGCCACACAGATGGGGGATGCATCGGATACGCCGATGCCGTGCAGAAAGAGGGCCGTACCCGGTGGTGGCGCTGGGACCTCGTGGACGAGCCAACCCCAGATCCGGGCAAAGCTCTGCGCCAGGACCCCGGGGCGGCTCTCGCAGGAATCCGCGAGGCAGCTGTGGATCTTCAGCATCAGCTTCAGGAAGTTCGGACTCGCAACTTCCGGCAAATGCGACCAGGCGCAGGTTGCCAGGGGCTCTGGGTGTCTGCCTGAGTCGAATGCAGATTCACCCAAGCACGCCTCTCAAGTCGTCTACTCGAAGGAAGCTCGCTGCAGCTGTCTACGGCTAGGTTTAGCCTTCAGGTGTGGGTGTGTCCCTGCGCTTGGCTCCGCACTCATGCCAGACTGGTATGAGATCTGCACTCCAACGAAGGTCCGGTGTGTGAAACTGTCGGTCATCACAGTGGAGAAGACCAGTGGCCGAGCGGGCAGGCCCGAGGGAAAAAGGATCGCAGTCAAGCCCTCGACAGGCGTTGCCCCTGGGGCCAGCAACTGTGCCAGCGTGCACACACCGCCGCCTTCATCTCCCAGCAAAGCCACGCCGCTGACCAGGGATGAAGGCGTGCGGTGCCGCCAAAGTTCTGGGAGCGGAAGCGAGGCCATGGCGAGCGCTGTCAAAGCTTTCCAAAACACGAAAAAGATCATCCCAAAAACTCGCTTTTGTTCAGCTCCCTTCTCCAAGTCTGTTACTGCCAGGCGGCTCGAAGGCAAGGAGCGTCTTCCAACCCCAGTCGCGGTACTTGGTGTCCTTCCGTGGCATGATGTGGCATTCGGTTTTGTGCCGAGTGCTACTGGCTCTTCTAGACCTCTCCTGAGTCAGCTCCCACATGTACCACCAACCTCATGTCGCAACATAGAACGCCTCGCCGCCTCGCGTAGGTTCCTGGACTCCTGCCTTCGACCGCCTCCGGCCTGAGGATGTACCTCCGGGGAGCTGGAATTCCGATATCCCGGGTCCCAGACAGATGGTCCCAGTCCTTCCAAAAAAGGAGGAGGGGCACTCTTTCGTGTTGGTCTTGGAGAGGTCCATGGCCTCGCTTTTGACCCTCTCCGGACCGATGCCTGACTGAGCTTTGGCCAACTCTCCAAGCTCAGAATGCCATCAAACGCCTGTCGGCTGCTTTTCGTACATCTGCCAGCAGGTGTATGCCTGAACAATCCAGAACTGCAACGCAGTTGCGCCCTATCTCTCTTGCTATATCTTTGCTTTGCTCCGGGGTTGAGGTGTGGGCAGGCCCCACACCCCGCGCTCCAGGCGCACCCCCTCCAACATGTTGTTGGGGTGGGGTGTCTGTACGTTGGTCTTCTCTCTATGTCTCTCTCTCTCTCTCTCTTGGGCAGCCAGGGAGCAATGCTGTCGGCCAGTTGCATCCGGCGCTGCCTCGACTACACGATGCAGGCCGAGCCCGGTGCCTAAATGAAACGCCCCACCGGAGATCATCTTGCCAGTGCTGTGCTCCGAGAGCTATCCACCCCGGCACGAAGCAGGTGAGATGCTCCATCTCCTGAAAAAAACTCAAACCAAGCTGAGGCAAGCTGAATCCCCATCCTTGCACGGTCCTGCACGTAGCTGGCACCGGTCGCTTCCAACGTTGCCGTGCCAAGGTAGGTCAGGCCATCCTAAAATCCGCTTAGATGAGAGAGAGGCCCCAAGGCATATTCAGGTGAGAAGCGGCGCCCTTTCTGACCAAGTGCTTCTCCATACCTTCCACAGCCTTGTCGTACATTCCTGAGCTCAAGCTTGCCATAGTTCAGAGAGAAAGGAGCACCAGAAAAGCCGGCCTTTCAGGTAGTCTTCTTCCTGGCGCTTTCCGCCCTGTATCCAAACCTGACACAAAGTTTCGCAACCTTGAAAATCAGCACGAAGAGCAAGAGCCAAAGACAAGACAAACCTTCAACAGGTACTCGTAGAAAGAGTCGCCATCTGCACCTTGTTGTCTCTTCAAGCCCTTCACTAATCTGCAAACCCGGAACCACTTCCACTCCGAGCTGCCAAAGGTGATTTTTCCTCTGCCTCGCTCGAAGCAGTTGGGCCACAGCCTTCGAACTTCGAATCTTGGATCTGATGCTCCGAATCTTTGGCTCCCTTTTTTTGCTTTTCTCCGGGGCCCTGGCCCGTCTAAGCTCTTGTAGCCTCGCACCGTCTCCTGGAGCTGAGCTCAGGCTCTCTCTTTTGGCCGTTTTGGCGGCGTAAAACCGGGGCTGAGAGGCGTAGAACTTCATGGTCTTGGCCGCGAAGGTCTGGTCCCCGGTCACGTGGGATAAGTACCGCATCTCCAGCCTCCGTCCCAGTCTGCCAGACGAGAGACGTCTCTTGCAGCTTCCGAGATCCAGGCTGAAGCGTTCCCGACTCTGCCAGGCTTGGGCAACCGCTGCCTGAGGGAAATTGTCCCAAGCGGCACAGAGGAGGACCAGGGAGCCTTTTTGACCTGGCCTCCACGCCCGCCGGCGAAGGTGTAGGGAGTGATGCCTTGCAACGCAACAGGCCTGCGATCTCCGAAGCCGGTGAAAAAAGGGGGGGCGGCTCCTCTGGCGGTCACCACGGCCAGGATCTTCTGCCCTTAGCGACAGGAAATCCAGCGCGGCGCGACGCCACTTTCGGAAGCTTGCTCTGCTTGAGGCTTTGGGCCCATTTTCACTGCCAGATCCAGGAAAGCGCTCTCCTTGGGAGCGAGAAGTCGGGCGATCGGCGGCCCTCTCCGCCCTCTCCAACCTTGGAAAGGTCATACGCCGACAGCAGGCCACCCAACCTCAGAGGCACTCGATCAAAGCGGGAACAGAGTCAACAGCTTCTGGTCATCTCGGACACCAGCACTCGGATGGTGGTCTCGAAAACCGAGACAGTCTTGCCTGAGCAGAGCTGGCCAGAGCCTTGCAGTCGGCCTTGGGGGGCGCTTCGGCTCTGGCCGATCGCGTTGATCTTGTTGTGAAAGTGGGCTACCTGCAAGTCGCAAGGCTGCAAGCTCAACTTCGACATCGCCCCCCTCCAAGTCCAGGGCGAGCCAGTCCCTTGCATCGTTGAACTCCTCCTTGAGGCCGGCGAGCCAGAGCCTGTAAGTGCAAAAGCGGCGAAATGCATTGGCAAACTTGGATGAGCCTTTAGGGAGGCTGAGGGCACGCACGTATCCAGAGAGTCCACCATCGTCACAGCCAGGTTGAAGCCACGGTTTCGACCCCTGGACTGTTCATGCCATCACCCAGCTCACAGTCACCAAAGGCAAGGTGAGAACCAGACTTGCCGGCTATGGGCAGCAGCTCATCGTTGCCCCAAGCAAAAGTCTTGTAGCATGACCAGGCGTGGCGAATCCTGAGTTTCTCTACAAGGCATCGGACTGGGGCAGAAGCGCCTCTGTGCGAGGCTTGGACGAATCTCGCACTGCATTGGCCCGCATGTCCTGGGTTGTTACCTGGGTCGAGTCCGCTCCCTGCCATTTGCCGGCCTTCAAGCAACAGCAATCGAGGGCCCGGGCCGAAGAGATGAGGAGAGTTAGACCTACGAGAAGACGGAGCTTTTCTGCTTTGGCTGCCACATCCCGGGCCTTTCTCGTGCTCCGCAACTGCCGTGCTGTCCTGGGCTCCAGCAGATTCGAGATGCCGCCGCTCACTGGGCTTGGCTTCAGGCCACGGGTGGTGCCGTGGGCACCGTGGGCATCTCGCCGTGTCCAGGTGGAAAACAAGCCAAGACCTCGCAGGCACGAAGCAGGCGGCGGTGCGGCGGCACTGCAAACGCTTTCAATTTTGTCCGAGGGCACCGGCCCCGGGCTTCAAGTTGGGCTTCAAGGCCGCCAGGATCTTCATGGAGCCGGCACCCTCGGCGCGCCAACTGCTGCCTCTCCTCTTCGCTTGGCCACGCTTGGCCTCGCCTTGATCCAGCATCCCGAAGGTGGGGAGTCCGAGGAAGAGCTCAGGACGGCCACCGTACAGGCGCCCTGGGAAGTGCTGGGAGGGCGAGAGCATTGCGACAACAGCCAAAAGCAAAGAAGTTTGGCCGGTGGGACCGGCGTTTGACGATTCTTGTCAATGCAGATTTGACAGCATTCCGCCTGGAGTTTGACCGTGTCTCGCCAAGGTGGAAGAGGCAGGAGGCAGGAGGATGGGCCTTGTTCGAGCTGGCCTTGACCATCTCCTCCTTCCCTCGTCCTGTGACAGTGGCCCTAGTGGCTGCTATGAAGCTGCGACCGTGCAGTCACGCGGCACCTGCCAAGAGGAAGTAGTCCACATCCTGCTGGAAGTCGCAGGTCGAGGTCGCAGACGCCTTTGCCGTGCCGCGCAGCTGCGGCGAGGGCCAGGGCCTCAAGAGGACATCGGAGCCAGCAGGGCTGCACTTAGCATCACGGGCACCAGGCTCTGCCACTCCGGAGGCGCCTGCCACCTTCGCAAACCTCAGGAAGTCGCAGGCCAGACCCTGGAAGTGCGATCCCTGCCAGCACTTGGGACAAGACTCGGCAGGTGACATCGGAGATGGTGTGGGTGCTAGCGCCGGAGCCAACTGATCACCACGCGCATCATCACGAGCCCTCTGCTGCAGGTCCGCCTGAAGCGGCGGAGCGAGCAACCACCCTCGTCGAACTGGATGCAGCTGCATGTTCATTTGGGCAACGGCCAACATCCTGTCCCTCTCAGCAATTTCCTGCCCCATTGCGGGCAGGACAGAGCTCAACATCGAAGTCTCTGCATCCCACACCTCCTTTGCTCGCGACAGTTCTTTTTCCAAGGTGATAACCCTGCTTTGTAGCGTTCCGACAACCTGAGCCGTCTGAGCTCAGCTGAGCTCTCTGAGCTGGGCGAAGAAGGCTTTTTGAAGCCTCCGAGGGCCAGGCACTCGGCTGGAGAGCCTCCGCGGACATCTTTGGTCCGTCCTCTAAAAAAGGGGCGAAGGACGGAGCAAGGAGTGAGATGTGTGGGTGGATTGCCGCCTGCAGCTCCCGCCAGATTGAAAAGACAAGTATGGACCTCAAAACGTGCCGTGAATTGCCGTGATTTGTGAGAGTCGTCGCCGCAGGCATCTGGGCTTCCGGGCCACATGCATACTGCACCCAGCGACGCGACCCAGCACCTTGACTACTTCGAGTCTGGCCCATCCCTCTCCCACTTCGGAGCTTCTGCAGACAGGGCACAGGTGCTTTCGGCACAAGCTGCAGGTCCCCGGTGCATCCCCCCCACCTGGAAGCAAGACTATCAAGACTCGGCTGGAAAAAAGCTCTTAGAAAGTGTCCCAACCTTCGACTGCACCTCGACGAGGCTTTCGCTGGCGGGTGCCTGCAGACGGATCGGAAGTCCCCAAAAAAAGCACAGGCCAGGCAGCCAGGCCTAGGGAAGAGGTCTTTGCCTCGGGGGACAAAGCTGTCGGACAGAGAGCTTCTTCCAGTCGCGGAGTCGGCTTCTCTCTGGGGGGAGATCCATCTGCTGCCAGCTGCCATGGCCCACGTCTGCTCTTAGCACTGCCCCTCGAGATGGTTTCGTAAACTGTGTCCGGTGCTTTCGCCGGTTTGACTCTGAGTGTTGGCTGAAGCTAGCCTTGCATTTGTGAACCGCAGCTGTGCCCGGTGGCTGAGTGCTACGCATCGCTTCTCTGCCGAGCTGCGTGTTATGCTTCGAACAACTCCAAAGTGGCTGCTGCCGCCGGGTGTGGTCCGTGATGAGAGCGGGGTCTGACCATGGTTCAGCAAAGCTGACAGGCACACCCACACAAGCTTGGATGCTTTTTCAAACCGCGCTGAACACTTGCACTTATGCAGCGCGTTTGGCGTGCGGGGTCTGTTCTTCAACCTGCCCTGCATGCTCATCAAGCAGAGCATGTGCTGACTTTGTGGCAGGGATCTGTCAACTTTGTGAAACGGTGGATATCCTGTTCTGCAACGAAGGATGCCTCAGCCCATTCCGGGCCTAGCTGAAAGCACCTTAACGCAAGAGAGTGCAGAAAGCAAGGAGGCGAGCCGCAGCTCCACTGGCTCGATCTGAGCTTGGCTGTACGAAACAAGTGGAACCGAGGCAGGGTCGGGAGATGGATTGCGCGAGTAGCCGATCTCACTGTTGCCGCAGGGGTGCCCGCGCCTGCAAGTTAGCCTAGCAGCATGCCGTCATATACATATACGAAGAACTAGAAGCATACTCAATATGTCAAGGCATGGTGTGGCAATGCTGTAGGGATCTTCTGACGGTAGAAGTGAAAAGGATCCTGTTCCGGAGCGTGCGGGCGCCCCGCCGGCGGTTCCTGGTTTGAACACTGCGGTACATGTTTTGGGATGCTTTGGGGTTGAAATTCAGGGTGGAAATCGCGCTCCCTCCAGTCCCGGTCTTGAAATCGCTCACAATCCTGGCACGGCCTCTCTGTGGTCTCGAAGTCTTGTTCTAAAGGAGCAATCGTCCGTGTTTTGGGGGTTGCGAGCTGGCTTCCGCCCGTACCACCATGTCGTGCAAAGTTTGGCCGTGACTCGTGTTTCCCCCGCCATATGATCCCATGTGCAGGCTTGGTCTGCTACGTATTATTTCCTGGTTTGGGTATATACTGGCATACATGCATGCCATGCCATGCCACGCCACGCCATGTCATGCCATGTCATACCGTACCATACCATAATGTAACGTACCCAACCTTCACCTACCATACCAGACCAGACCGGCACCGCATACATGCACACATGCATGCATACATCCAGCCATCCAGCCACCTATGCATGCTTCCATGCATACATTTCCTGTCGTGCGTAGGTATGCATGTATGTAAGTATGTGTGTACATGCATGCATGCATGCATGCATGCATGCATACATGCATACATACATATATACACACACAAACACCTCTCTCTCTCTACCCTAGAAGCTCCTGCCTCACTCGAGAAGGACCGACTCGACCAGCGATCGAAACAGCGGAAGAAGCACCGGCCGCACTTGTCAAGGAAGCCTCGCTGTCGCTTCTCTGAGCCGAGACACGCAACTAAACTCCTAAAAGCTCTCTGAGTCTGAGCAATGCCCCCTCCTGCCTCTTGAGGATGCCACGCTCCCCTGGCATAGATACACTGCCCCCGTTTATGGATGGAGACTTTTTCCAGTGAAGTCTTACATATGCTTACTCCTTCACGACTGCCACTGCATAAGACCTGCAAGTCCTGCATCCAAGCACGGATCGCCTCCCACGTCCCACGCCATGAGACACAGATTCCATGATTTGCACTTTCGAGGTGCCGCGGCCGAACTTTTGCTCCGTGAAGTGTGTCGTGTGCAGCATCGTTGTCATTCGGCGCGCGTTGCCGTGCCTTTGTGGCCTGTGAGGTTGTTCCTTCCTGGCCTCCCACAGCGCTCTTAACAAGCCACTCAAGCTCTGCCTGGATCCAGGATCCAGGGGAGACCAGCCCAGCATGCGGGCTTCTGCTCGAAAAGGCACCAAACTGTTCCAAAGTTAGGCGGAGATGATAGATGCTGTTGGACTTGTGCTATATGATATCTGGACTTGAAACTTGAAGATTGCTTTGCCACGGAAAAGGTCGCGTCCTGCGGTTGTTTCCATCGTTCTTGGCCAAGCCCTGTGGGCGAACCATTCCCAGCCGGCTCATGTGTGTTTTCTGCGGAACTTGACGCATCCATCAGCCTCTTCGAGGCTCAAGGACTCTGGCAGCTCATCCACCGAGTCGAGGAGGAAGTAGTGTGTGCCTCATGAGCAGGCGGAAGCCCTTGCAAGGCCTTTCTGTCGGGGTTTCCGGGTTGCCGGGGCTCCGGGCCCAGGTGGATGATGAGGGGACGCATTTGTCGCAGCTCATCAAAGGAGGGCCGTGACCGGTCGTCGGGGCGGCCCTCGGCCACGGGTTCCTGGCTCGATACTTGCAAGGCCGACGGCGTCGTTGGGGATTCCATGAGCAAGAACTCTTGAAAGTCTCCGGGCAATGCCCACTCAACCAGACTCTAGTCTAGCTGTCCCAAAAACCCCACACCGCTGGGATTCCAGCCACAGTGATCAAGCGGAAGCCTTGCCTTGCGCAATTACCCCATTCACAATTGCTGCTTCTTGCCTACAGTTGCTTTGCTTTAAATCATGGTTCCCCCAAGAAGTGCAGGCCCTACTAAATTGCAAATTAGAGGGCAGCTTGGAAGGGAGCACCCATCTAGAACAACCACCCATCATCTCCACCACGAGTTTCCGATTCAAGCACCGGACTCGTGCAGCCGACGGCCCGCATCGCGGAGAGCGTCCATCTTGGCCGGTGGCGACAATTGGTCTTCGAATCGGATTGCTATCTAATATCTAGTTCAGGCAGGAGGCATCGGAAACATCCACGTTGACCTGATCGACGACGGGGAGCCCTGCTGCGGCCAGCGCGAGCATGGTGTGGTCCTCGGCACGTATCGCAACGCTTGCCAGAAATCTTCCTCGCAACTTCGACTCAGCTCCCGGCTCCCGTCTCCTCCGAGGCGTGGAAGTCCGGCGTGACCTGGGCGCCACCACGGTCCTATATAGAGCGAGATTCGGGCTCGGAGTGCATCCTGGCCTCCACGACAGGAGTCCAGCGACGGCAGAGCTTCGTGCACAGGAGGGACAGTTCGGAGTGCGTGAGGAAGCAGTTGGTGTCCTTTATAAGCGGGTGCACGTAGGCATCGAGGTTGCAACGCTGCGGAAAGGCGTGCGCACCTGGATCCCTCGCGCCCCAAGCTCATTGGAGACCAGATCCAGGTGAGATCCGCGGATGCCGTTCCTGCATGACAGGACGTTTTGGCAGGCAGCCTTAGCGCTCAGATGCTACGCCTGAGGCACCGCAGCTTGATGTCTGCGATGTTCCACAATCTTTCCCAGATCCGATCCTCCAGAGAAGCACTATAGAGATGCGCAAGATCGTTTCTTCTCAGATATACTTTACTATGTTGTACTATAGTATACTATGCGTGAGGGTTTGATATCGATATTGTCTTGGTAGCTCACCTCACCGAGCTTGTGAATGCTGATTGTGGCTGCCATTTGCTGAAGTAGAGGTTGATCACTTCACTGACGACCCATTCCCCTTGCAGGCACACGCACTGACACTCACCTTTCACGGATAGCGCTCAGTCGTAGATCTGTGCAGCGGGAATGGCTCGGACTTTTGAATCAGACGCCTACAACTGAGTCGCAAGCTGTCGGCTTATGGCAGTTTCTTGAGCCACAAAGTTGCGAGTGAGGCGGAGCACTTTGAAGTAGACATACTCGGTAGACTCTGCAAGGCAGATGCGTACAGGAGTTGTTACTGTTGGTAGAGCACAGTCTGTCCAGCAGGCCTGTGATACCTTGAAACATGGTTCACTCTCATAATTTAGCTCTTAGTGACACCCCCGAATTGTACGAGTGTTCGCATACTATGTTATGCTATGTTATACTGTGTTATACTATGTTATACTATGTTATACTATACTATACTATACTATACTATACTAGACTAGACTAGACTAGACTAGACTAGACTACTAGACTAGACTATATACTAGACTATATACTAGACTACACACTAGACTATATACTATACTATATACTGTACTATATACTGTACTATATACTATACTATATACTATACTATAAACTATACTA